GTTACAGAAAAGACCCCAGCCATTGGCCACTGCAATCATTCTATTTCTGGGGGAAAAGGAGACAGGTTTATTTGCAGGATCCCAGGCTTAATCATTGGTATTAAATGAGTTAGGACTGGAACTAATCAAAGAAGCAAACAGCTGATTACCGCTGTTTTGTGAAAGAAAGAAGTAATTGATGTTCACACAGGTTAAAGCAGCCAAAAAGGCCTCTAACTAAAGGGCCCCACTCTTTTTCTCCCTTTTTAATTTATTTTCAATGGTCTTCAGTCTGTGAGGGCTTACATATTCAGTTCCTTCAGAAGCCTTTTTGTGCAAGTCCCAATTAAAAAGCCAATCACGTTGTTAATAAATTGGGCTAACAGCTTCTTTCAGAGGAAGAAACAAATAAATCAGAGTGTCTCAGCCATAGAATTTGACTCTGTGTGAGTATATAGGCAGTTAATTCAATCATAACCTGGGAACGTCATGAAGCCACATGGATTTAGTCATGATGATGATTTACAGGAGAAGGAAGGGCTATGACATGCCTTATATAACATGGAGAAACGGTTGTTCTATTTGTTCAAGTTTATAGCTTATAATTTTCTTCACATAACATTTTGTACTCATGCGCTCACTATTCAGTATGGCTAGAGTGACTGTGGACTTCAAGTTCTGCCTGTAATTGGTGACCTAGTTGCATTTTACCATCTGGCTAGAAATATTGGTATAATTAGCATATATCTTTCTTTTGGCCTTTCAAAGGGATATTACAATCACTAAATTTAAATTCCAGTGGTGAACCACAGAGGGTGGAAATCCTTTTGACTAATTATAAAATAATCCTCTTTTTTTGTTTACTCTGAAAGTTGGACGACCACAGCATCGGGTTGGCATAGGACCCAAACGTGAGAGATTACTCATATGATTCTGAATAAGATCTTGTACCACCCTCCCCATTAGAGATTCTTGAACAGTTTTCTCAGTAATAATATATATTAAAGGAAAGTACTTATTGATTTCTATAAGTTCAGAGATCGATATGTTTCCCATAAGTAAAACTTTTACTTTTCCATAAAGTAGAATCTCTTTCTCTCTCTCTTTCTCTCTCTCTCTTTCTCTCTTTTCCGCTCTTCCCCAGTCCCCTCTGCCCCCCTTCTCTCTCTGTAGTGAGGAAACCATGTATATGGAAAATGTTGGAACTTTTCTATTCTTATGGAAAAATTTTGATAAGTAGGGAAGGTGTCAGAAGATATGAAAAGGGCTGTGGTGGTTGATACTTTGTGTGTTAATATCGGGTTAAAAGATGCCCGATAGCTGCTGAAACAGTTCCAGGTGAGTCTGGAAGAGATTAGCGTTAGAGCTGGTAGACCAAATAAAGTAGATCAAGCTCACCAACGCCAGTGGGCACATCCAATTCGTTGAGGTCCACAGAACAAAAAGGCAGAAGAAGGGGAAATGTGCTCTCTTTGCTTGAGCTGGGACTTCTATCTTCTCCTGCCCTGAAGATGAGGATGTGGTGACAGTGCCGTCAGCTGGTTCTGGAGCCCAGCGCCTGGTCAGGCTCAGAGATCCCTGCAGAAAGCCATGCCAGTGATGTTTGATCAAGGAAACATCTTCAAGACAGTGATGGCCCATGAGCATCAGAGTGTGTCGTATCCGAATCGAATGGCAATTTCTAATAAAGGTATGAAGCTTACAGTGCTACAAAGAGGACTACTGATCCTTTATTTGGGGAGCCTGATCTCCCCAGTCTCTTCTCAGGTACAAGAGCTGGTTCTCACAGAATAACTTCACCTATATCCCTGGGGAAGAAGCTGAAAGCAGACAACTACAGTGCAAGTCTCTGAAAGTAAGTCTCCCATTGGTGGAGACACTGGAGGGTGGCCAACCCGCTAACGATAGCCAACCCCCTTCTCTGTGAGAACCAGGTCTATGAATTCCAGGGTTGTTTTTCTAGTGAGAACATTTCTGTTCATGAGGATGTTGTCCAAAGTAAAAAAAAAAAAAAGATCTAATAAGGCCCATATGAGTCTTCTCAGACTCAATGCTATTTCTCCCTCTGATGCCATGCTCCTTCCAGAGGCAAAGTTTGCCCCACATAACAATTTTGCTTCTACCTTAGTCCTAGAAGCCACATTCACGGCATTGAACCATTATCTACAAGGTCCAGCAATTCTCCACATATGTATACTGGGGAAGTGAGCAAAGTTCTTGTTGTTGTAAGACGTATAAGATCTCTTTCTCCTTGTTATCTCCTGAGACTTTTCCATTCTTTCCAAACTCTGTGTTTCTCAATAGATTTAAGTATTTGCAAATTAAGGCCCCAGTGGAATTTTTTAAAATTCTTTTGAGTGCTACTCTACTTCCCCTGATGCAAAGAAGCAGTCTCCTGCTCTAAAAGGGAAAAAAATACAGGAAGAGATTGTAAATTAGTACTACAAAAATTATTTGGCTGCACACTTTACAAAAGAGGCTCTTCAATCGCAAATGGAGATGTTTGGTAGTTAATATCTGTTTCGCCTGATAGATGGTCAGATAAGCTACACTTATTTGACCAACACTATTCAAGGACTCTTCTGTTCCTCGCTTTTTGCCAAATTTTCACTCTTCAAGGCACACCCACCTCCACACCCATCACTCTCAGCAGACGACTACATGAAATCTTCTCTTGTCTGTCAGGAAAAAATGTTTTTACTTATTCTAATCAAGTTGCCTCCTCCAATTGTGCTTGCGATCTCATCACTCTCTCCGGCATTTTTAACCATTAGTCATTTTGCACGCTGTGCCTTTCAATTGCTGCTGCCATGTGGACTCCTCCTCTTTGCCTACTAAAACATTTTCTAAAACACTCTATAAACTATTGTTCTCCTCTCCCTTCCCCCACTCCCCGTAAATTTCTTGGAAATATACCTGCGGCCTCTACTTTCTCACTATTTTCTCAGCTACTTACAAACTCATGATGACAGAGAAATCGCTGTATCCAACAACCATCTCTCAGCCCTCTGCCTTTTGAAGGTCTGCTTGTTAGTCAGATGAGGCTCACTGCCCTGTCCCTTTCTGTCCTCTCCTCCCATCTCAGTCATGCTAGAACTAGGAGAACCAGTTAGAGTATCATCCTGATGATCTAGACCAGAGTCAGGAAACAAAAATGCAGCCCATTGTCTGTTTTTATAAAGTTTTATTGGCACACCCATTCATTTTTGCATATTGCCTATGGCTTTTTCATGCTCCAGCAGCAGAATTGAGTAGTGATAAGAAGCTTTCTGGCCTGCAAAGCCTAAAATATTTAATAATTGGCCCTTTATAGAAAAAATTTGCTGACTCCTCACTACTAGTAGATGATCTAGACCAGCCGTGGGCAAACTATGGCCCGCGGGCCGGATCCGGCCCGTTTGAAATGAATAAAACTAAAAAAAAAAAGACCGTACCCTTTTATGTAATGATGTTTACTTTGAATTTATATTAGTTCACACAAACACTCCACCCATGCTTTTGTTCCGGCCCTCCGGGCCAGTTTAAGAACCCATTGTGGCCCTCAAGTCAAAAAGTTTGCCCACCCCTGATCTAGACAATCTACCAAGTAAAAGAATGTGGACCCAACTGTATTTCCACAATATAAGAATCAAGAGGAAATGACTGTAAGATATTAGGAGCTATCACTGATGAAAATTAATGACTAACTGGAAGAGGTGCGGTAGGAAACACAATTTTTAGAATGACACCTCAATTCCAGTTGTGATGTGTTAACTAAGGGAGGGAACATGATGTGTTAACTAAGGAAGTTTGGGTGAGGAGGTGATACAGAAAGGGAAAATATGATTATGATTTTAGCGCTATTTTACATTTGAGGGTACGCTGTTACTTCCCAAGAGAATATGTAGCACTTCAGTGCCCAAGAGAAAAACTGGGGCTGAAGAGAAAACTTGGGAATGTGTATGTTCCAGAAGAAAAAAAGATATAGAACAGAAAATGTTCACAATTAGGAAGTTCCAAGGCATCAAATTCTCAATTGTGAAGCTCTGCACACCGTTTTTCTCATTATACTTCATACTTCTTACATGATTTAGCATATACAATTGACCCTCCTTATTCAGATTCCTTATTTGCAAACTCACCTGCTTGCTAAAATTTGTGTGTAACCCCAAATCAACATGGATGGTGCTTTCAGTCATTTGCTAACACGTTCACATGGTGAAAAAGTGGAGTTGCCCGATACACTTGTTCCCAGCTAAGGCTGAACAAGGTGACCCTGCCTTCTTAGTTCTCGTACTGGAAGACAAGTGTCCTCTTTGTGGTCTAATTCATGTCATGTTCTCTGCATTTTTGTTGGTGATTTTACTGTTTAAAACACTTCGTAGTTCAGAATTGTTATACATCTAGTGTTCCTATGCACAAGGGCTTATGGAAAAAAATACATGTATCAGATTAGCTTCATTCAGGCATGAGTTCTAGTGCTGTTAGCTATGGGTTCAATGTTAATGATCAACTATTAAATAAGGTCTCTGTAAACAGAAACGCTCATAAAACAAGGTTATATATTGCTCAGTGAACAAAAATGTTATGAAGAGCTTTCAGGAACCTAACCCTATATTTCTCCTAGAAGCAGTGTTTCGGGATTCACTGTTTATGGGGAATTCATAGAATATAACTACCGTAAATAAAGGGAACTGACAACCAGGTTATAAACTTCTTGAAAATTCCTTTATTCATTAAAAAAATTTTAAACTGAGAAAATAAAGTTCAACCATTTGTGGCGACTCAGAATTCCTTGTCTTTATAGTAATGTAATACTCTGCCGTCCACTGACATTTCCTTAAAGTATCTATTATTACTAAAGAATAGACCTTGTTCACAAATATGTGTGACTTTTTCAAAAGACAAGATCTAATAAACACGTCTGCATTGGGAAAGAAGTTCAAAGATGATGTGGGTCAAAGGCTAGAGCCTCCAGGCAAGGTCTGCTTTTATGAATAATACATTTAGAAATACTTTAGAACAAAAGACAACCACAAATGTAAACAAAAGTGCCTTATAATTTTTAACCAAAAGGATCATTAAGCTGATGTAACAAGTTTTGTTACTGAAGGTTTCATAACAATGTCATTCAATATGCCTCAAGCAACATGAATATTTAATGAAAGCTAAGTTGGAGGGCAGTTGTAATTGGTGTGAAATTTACAATTAAAGTTTTTTAAACTTTCATAAAAGTATAAACTGGTAATTTCCCAAACTGGAAGTTGAATAACTTAATTTTAATACAATTTGAAATTAAAGAATAATTGTTTACACAACATTGAATAAGGATGTTCCCAAGTCAGATATCAAACTGAAAATTCAAAACAGAGGAAATGTAAACAGTTATAAAATACCAACATTTATTACTGTTGCTTAGAGCAGGCTATTCAAAGTATGGCCCATGAACTGTCTGCAACCAATCCAAAAAGACCGAGCTCGTGCTAGATGAAAACCAGTTCTAGCACTAACCAGCTGCTACACCAAGACTTCCTTGATGAAGGAAGCTAAGTGTTCATTTAGCCTCTGGCACAGGCACCTTCTCTCATCACAATCTACGAATAGGCCCTGCTGGGCTTCTTTAAAGGGCCATGACAACTTTCCGTCCTCAGAGTTAGGTTAACTTTGTGTGGGGGAAAAAAGTTAAATGGCAATTATAACTGTCATCTATTCTACTACTTTTTAATCCCACCTCTTCAGGGATCTGATCCAAGAGGAAAATTAAGTTCTATAAATTCATCACAGTTTCACACTACTCTTCAGATGTGTTTTCAGGCATCTGTTCACCTCACAGGGACTCTAGATTCCTGCTTCAGTCAGATACATCATCTGCTTTTCATATACTTTCAATCTTGGGAGAAGAAAAAATGAGAATTGAGTCATTTGTTAATAACTTCTCTCTAAAGATTGCTTTACTTTATTTTTACATTTCAATTAGTAAAAATATTTAAATTCACCCTTATGAAAAAAATTGAATACTGTTTATGTGCAACCACATTTTTTTTTTTTTTTAATAATAGAAATTGTTAGGAAAAAAGGTCTGAAAATTTACAACTCTGTGTATTCTATTAACTAAGAGGAAGTATATAAAGTATTTTAATATTCCTAAGAGTTAAAGAAAGCTAGTATAAAATATATTTTAAGAACTAGCTTATAATTCAAAATTCTAACATTTTTAGATTTTTTTTTTAGTATGGCACAATTTCTCTAGAAATTAAATATATAATATCGTCTTTTGTAAAAGTAATCACTTTCTCTTTTTCCAATGGCTTACTAAGCTTTACCTGTATTACCTTAATACTGAAGGCAAATAAATGGACAATTAACAATTCAGAAAAAAACTCATCAGTTTTACATATACAAGAACCCAGTTTAGCTTCCACAATGACTAGTTTATTGACCCAACAAACTGCTCCTTAAAGAATTTATATGTATATTCATATGTCATAAGACAAGAGCTCCTTTGGCACCTGAGTTGAGCATATCAGAGTGAAGAATGCCTAGACAAAGTTGTCTAAAGACTATATTTTCTCTCTATATACATATATACATATACCTGTACATATATACACACACAAATAGAAACAACTTTCCTTCAGGAAATGCTGGGGATATAAAGATTACAATGACCTTAACGTGACAGTATAATAGACTTTTGACTAGTCACCAGGTGCAAAGTCATCGAAGATCACCCCAGGAGTGAACGTGCCCCGCTGGGACCGCACATAGTCCCAGCCCTGAGCACAGGTCCTGCTGTCCCAGGGACTTGCTGGCACTGGTCCCACCAGAAGACCGCGAGGGCCCCTCTGCAGGGGCCTTCCGGGAGCTGCACCACCACGAGGAATTGACACGGGAACTTCAGGAGAGCCTAATGGCATGTGTTTTATGACCACATCTACCTTGTGACTCTGGCACTGTGTTCATAGTCCTACTGGTGCTGTGACTTTTTGAATGCTCACTTTTAGAACTCTGAATGCCTGGCTCGTATCTCAAGACTTAGAAGACATCTAGAATTCTCTAAGGCACCTAAGTCTGCCAGCATTTTCTCCTAGCTCAATTAATAAAGGTGTTTGGCCGACTAAAATTAGAGCGCACTCAGTTTTCCCGAAGTATCTTCTACTCTAGAAATTCTGGAAGATGGAATCCTCTACCCTTGTAAACCGTATTTTCCATTTGTCAGATCCAATTACATCTGAAGAAGACTGAGAGTTAAAATGCCATGCTACCCTTTCCTCTGCTCTAACTTGTACATAACATCCCCGCTCTGAGTGTGTAATCCCCCTTTGCTCTGGGTAAAGGACCCCTCTCATAGAGCACACTACATACAATGAGAAGCTTATGTAATTTCAAAATAGCCATCAAAACATCTTCAAATATAAAATATCTCTTCATTATTTTCAGTTTACATCAACCATAATATAACTCAAATCACTTTTTTCCCCTGATATATAAAACATTTTGATAAATCCATATGAACTTAAATTATTCCAATGCACACTTTTATTTTTGGTTATATATTTACGTCTTTTCTTCTCTGCATAGTGGTATCTCAGGATAGGAAATGAAATTATGCTAGTAACTAATGACATTTTAAACAATTTCCTAAATCCTCCTATGCAAAAGTGCATTTACAATATAAACAAGCCCATATAAAGCTACAGACCACAGTCACACACTGGAGCGGATTTCAAATGCCAAGTTCAGTCCACAGGAGTCAGAAGAAGAGTGCTAACAGAGCACATCTGAAACAAGTTCATGGGGGCTGGGCAATGAGTCATCAAAGCGGAATCTTTTGGAAACCACACTGCTATCCTCTGGGATGTTCTCTTTGTCTTCTCGATCCTCACAGGTGCCATTACAGGAGGATTTCAGAGTCTTGTCTTCAGAGGACCTTGTCGTGTGATCCTGACCTTGAGGGGGACTGGACATTTCTTCGGGGAGGAACAAGTTTCCAAAATCCCATTGCTGTAGCCAAGAATGAGTGAGGCAGATCTCTGCTGTTGGTCTTTTCCTTTGAGAGAAAACACCAAGGAAAAATTGAGAATTAAATAGCAGTTTGGAAATGTCTGCAGTTCAGTGTATCATCAAGTTACGTGTTATAAATATGAAAATAACACATCCCCACAGCACAGAAAGGAGTAAGAATAGGAACCCCGGAGAACCTAGCAATCTCTTTCATTCTGACATGTGCCAAAAATTCAATTTATCATGGAGCTTAGAGATGAAACTAGTTAAAAAGCTTGAGAATGGATGTTATCCTCACAAATGAAAATTAGTGAAATTATAAAGTCTCTTGGATTTATAGACCCTTTGAAGGAAAATATATTTAAGTGATTTATAATATCTAATATTATTTTGTTATTAAAAGCAGTCACTACTAAGTCTTAAAAACAAAAGCTACTCTTCAATGATGCTTACCTAGCATTTTGAGTTTTTAAACTTTGTTTTCTATTACAAAAGTAACGTAGTCAAATATCACAATATTTCAAAAGTAAGAAAAACACCTACCTAGCCCAGAGCTTCAACCTTCACACAACCGCATTACCCTTAAAACCCGTTTCCTTTCTTTGCCTTCATGTTCATTTTTTTCTAACTATAAAAAAATTAATGTGCTCATTATAGAAATTTTAGAACCTAGGTAAAAGAATATTGAAGCAAATAAAAACTGCCTATAACCAGAAACAAATATAGTGGTACTATTTCAACTGTCACGTCCAAAATACAGCCAGTGAGAGCCTGTTTGGGCCAATAAAATAATTAACAAACCTACGAGGTTTTTTTCTTAAACAGATAGGAGACTGAGTCCTCCTGAGAGTAAATAATGATCAGAGATAAACGTCCTGACAAGTAGTAACACCAGGGCACTAGGCCACGGCCTCTGCATTAAGGCCAGCCAGGCCCTTTCCACGTAAACACTGCTGACGCTGGCAGACAAAAGGGAGGTCGGCTTTTTCTTTTCCTGCCTTGAAGTTGCCAATGAGTGAGGTCAGAGTCCTAAGCCACAGTTTCAAGTCCCTTCTTTGGTAGGCAGTCAAAGGGCACCCGATGATCCTTAAAGATCTGACCATCTGGCATTTGCACTTGCTACATAACTGTGATCATTTAACTACAAATCAACCAGCTGTGTGTATTATAAACCTTCTATTTCTAATTATTTTAGGGAATTTCAGGAATTAATGGCAGGTTGAGAGAAAAAGAACACATATCTTCCCTTCACTCCAAAATTTCCTGTTCTGTATTTTATATTTTCCATGTTTGAAATTATGAATTTGTTATTTAACGATCTCTCATACCACCTCTTTCCCCATTTTACCCAAGAGCTCACTTTTAATAGTGTTATAGTTTTAGAATGTATGTTTCTTAATAAACATAAATTATTTATTTCATAATAGTAAACAGATTAATGTTCTTACTTACTCTGGATTTTTTACTAAAAGACTCTGGATAAAGTCTGTGGCCAGTTGTGAAACTGATGAGAAAGTTTCCTCTGAATAATCTACATTAACTTGAGATATATTGAGGTATGTTTCTTGATTATCTTCTCCCACAAATGGGGATGTATGAGTTACTAACATATAGGCTATGATACCAATATTCCTGAAAAACAAAAAAGGGAGAAGAGGAATTTTAAATGTGTTAATATTAAAACATTTATATAAAATAAAATTGATACTCAACATATATATTCCTGTTCTCAACTTTACAGTTAAACTACAGACTTAAATTGTTTTCCTAAGTTCCTATATTATTAAAACTAAAATAATAATCTCAAAGTCTGCCTCACAGAAAAAGAATATGGGGGAAGTGCACGTGTTATGTAGTTATAAATATATTAAATATATATCATTATACCTCCAGTCTGTCCTTCACACAAACACTTGTTACCAAGTACACAAAGCCATGCAAAGAGCAGCATTTTCCAAATGGTGTCCAATGACACAGTAATGATCTGTGAGACATAAACAGGGCTTTTGTGCAAATAGAGTCTGCAAGTTTGGCAAAGCATGAAGTTGGGCGGGTAGATTTTTTTTTACTACAAAACTTTTCAGAGCCTAAAATAAGTTAATGACAAGTCTTGTGCTCAGGAGTCAAAAAAGAGAGAATACGGACAGTATGTTTCACTCACTCATTCAGTCACAGGACCCTTTTTCCTCGGCAAACCCATTACAGCTCTGTGAACCCAAATCTCCCCTCAACTCTTCCACGTGGCCTGTAGTCAGAGCCAACAGTGGTCCCAACTACAGCCGCATAATCAACTCCAGGTCTGCTCCCCGGTCCTCTGGGCTAGCCACAGAGCTCGGTGCACCCTCGTTCAGGAGAGCATATCTTTTATGATATGCCCCCAGAACACGACCCTTCTGCATTGACCTGACCTCCCTCTGGTGCTCAGTTCTAGGCCTAGATCAGGTGCCTGCCTGTCTGCTGCTTCCTCACGCTCAGTAAACAGCATTTCACCTTTATGACAGAGCATGGAGCATGTCCCTTTACTACATCTCGTCTTCCTCCTGTTTGTTTCTGAAGCTCTGGTTCAGAGCCGAAGTGCTACTTAAAAAGAACGGGTAAACATTTCCTGTGGCATAATAATGACACTTGAGTAAAACCTTTTCAAAAAAGCCTTATTATTTACATTTAGAATCAAAGAACCCTAGAATAGACACTACCCAACTTTTAATAAAGGCATTTAGGTAACTAACAAAATCTTACCACATATCTGTAGCTGTGGTAATAGGATCATAATTCAGGATTTCTGGAGCTGAAAGGGAAAATATAATTCAAAATTCAATACTGACAAATTTAAAATCATGACAATTACTTCACATCAAGTTAAACTGGATTTAATTTTTAAGAACTACTAATATAAGATCAATCGAAATTTAACATCACATTAATTATCCTGTGACTGGACATTTAAACATATCTAATGTTAAGCAAATTAGGTAACCACATGATTCAAAAGCTCCAATAATGTTCTTTGGTGTAACTGGTAGCTACATATATATTTTTTAATCACTTAGATTAATCCCAGAAAAAAATAATTATGAAGAAGTAAAGAGTTAGAAGTTAGAATCTTCTTAAAATCTTATTTTACTACTCTTGGGAATTAGTTTGGGTTATTTCATTAGACTAATTTAAGTTTTCCTTTTCAGGGTAATAGCATCACATGCATCGTACAATGACACGAGGAGCAAATTGTGCTTCCTGGATGTGCTCTAGATTTACAAGTAGATTGCATATCCCTAATTTCCTGTGCAATTAATTTCCCACTGTCTCTTTCCCTGCCAAAGTGCTTTTTAAAATGTGAAATAAATTATCTATACTTTCTAAACATTACCATAAATTTCAAATTAGTGGAGTAAAAACTCAGATTTATGCTTGAATAATAACTGCCTGGTTTCACTGTATGATTTCCTAACTTCTCCAAGAAAAATTGTTTCTAAAGCCTAGCAGTGTTGGTAATGGAGCCTTGGAGACCTACATAGTGTCATCTGTCACTGCAGCTCCTACAACCTCTTCGTATACGTCTGGAGCTGTGTTATCTAGAATTACAATAACTCGTTCTAGGGCACTATGGCCTCTACTCAGTTAGTCATGTGCTGCGTTTCTCACTTAGGGAACGTCAGCTGCCTGCTGTGAGCAGCACCTGCTCTGCTTAGTTCAATGCCTGCATAGGGACAGCAATACACGGAGAAACGAAAGCGTATAGACAGATTACTTCTATAAATTTAAAACTTCACATTTACATGCTGCCTCATATGCCTTAAAAACCTTCATAGTCTAATCAGTTGATCTAGTACAATGTTATTAGATTATCTAGTCATAAATTTTTTTGTCACACTTCTTTAAAATCCTTTTATAAACTGAGGCAAAATCTCACATTTTAAAGCAGCACCAACAAACAGCCAATTCCTGCGAACTGAAGATATCTGTATTGTCAACAGCATTAGAGCTGAGACAGGACAGAAGGAGAAGTGATGTCCACCCAACAGCCCGGCCTCAAGGGCAGGGACGGCCCACTTGATCTGTTTTCCTCTATTTCCTGCTCCCTAACTTTCTTTTCACCCACACATTAAACTTTTGAACTTATATGCCTAATATGCTGTGAATTGTTATGAATGTCTCAATAATCTTATACTCATTACAGTTCATTCAACTGTGTCATAACCAAAACACCTGAACCAAATATATCCTGAAATTAGATGCTCTAAAATATATAACGTAGAGGCGTCATTTAGTTAATAAATTTCAAAATGGTGTAGAAAATAAGAGAAAATTCTTACCTAAGTATTCAGGTGTCCCCATGATTTCCCGAAGTTCACATGCATTTCCTAGTTTCCGAGACATTCCAAAATCTACAATTTTTATGTCCCCAAGAGGGTATATGCTGCTCAATAATATATTCTGTGGCTAATAAAGCACAACAAAATATGATCAGTAATATACAGCAATAAAACACTACTAGTCTCTGATCAGAGGTAAATTAAGTGGAACGTACTACTTATATATTTCATATGAGTCATACATGAAACATTTGCTAAACTATTTAGAAGGAGCTATAGATTCAATGATAAATAAAGTAAAAAATTCACTCAGAGGATTCTTGGTTTGGGGAAAAAGATGGATACATAGATTGATTAACTGGTTATGAGCTAGGGAATACTCAGTAATAACGACTACTTAATTCTGCCCATAATAAAGCCCAAGAAGACTCTGCAGCAGAGAAGATGCTTAAGCTGAATCCTAACGGACACACAGGACATGCCAGTTAGAGAGGTGCCCTGGGGAATCGCATGAGCGAAGGCTTGTGGGAATGAAGTACGTCCATTTCCAGAAACAGAAAACGGTTCAGTACAGTGTGACGGTCCTGGGTCTGACTGTAGGTTAGACAGTAAGCTGCATGGGAAAGTCTACGAAAGGGAAATTATACAGAAAGGGAAGAGTACAATATCAAAAAATAAGATGCAGATGGATTCCAATGTTAAGGTCCTTCAGTAGCTGGGGCGGAAGGATAAGGAGAAAGAATAGTACCATGAGAGGCTGAAGTGGTGACAGGGCTTGGGAAAGGGGCCTGGATGATCTGGGGGGAGAGAGGGCAGAGGAGCAAAAGACTGAAAACCTCAAGAGAAAGATGAGCGTGAGGAAGCAAAGGAATGAGGACAAGGAGGAAGTTACCTTCAGGGATGGGTCAGAACTGAGTATTTTAGAGGGAGGCGGTTTATAAACAGAAGATCCAGGACGTAAGAGTAAGGTGGGTGGGGTGCTTTAAGGCTGAGAACATGAAGAACTGATGGTTTAAGAGCCAAGTGACCACTGTGAGCTGCTCACACATGCAGGCCTCTCCTCTCGGCCAACACAAGCTTAAGTCAGTGCCGCACAAGGGAAACAGAGAGCACACCAGTGCCGCCTGGACCGCAGATCTGACTGCTGCTTCCTGCCACTGTGCAAACCCAGAGCAAAGAAGGAACGAGTGTAGCGGTGCTTACAACTGCATCTTACGTTACCTTTAAATCAAGGTGCACAATGTTATTCTGATGCAGATAATAAACTCCTTCAAGTATTTGTTTGATGAGTCTGATAATGTCACTTTCAGAGACCATTTCCGCCAGCTCAGGTAAACACAAGTTGAAAATTTCTCCACCTGCAGCACTGACATAAAATTCAGATAATAGAAACTTGAAAAATCATTGACCTAATATGACGCTTTTAAATACTGTATCCCTGTTAAGTAAAAGACACACAGCCATCTACATTTTAGTCTCCAAATACACATTTAGAGTAGAAGAAGGGCGTGGGAGGGATCTTTAAGGAATAAAGTAGATGCCAAGAATATTTCAAATTATGGATGCTAATATTTGAATATTTAACAAATAAAATTAAATTGCATTATAATTCAATAATAACTGCCTTAACTGCAATAAAAAGAATAGCTGACACTAGCAGCTCAGTTCTGCTGCCCCTCCATTTTACTCATTTTTATTTAACTACAAATATCACCTATTTTGATCTTCATGACAACCTTGTGAGGTAGGTGGCTATTACTTTCATTTACAGATGAAGAACCAAGTTCAACGAGGGTAGAGCAACTTGTACATGGTCACATAGTAAATGGAGGAACCAGAATCTCAATCTGTATAAAATGGGTGAGAATCAATATTCTTCACCAACATCCTGTTTGGCAGCTTCACAAAGAATATTTGGGGCCAGAACCCAGGTCTTTTATTTATATGTATGTATGTATGTATGTATGTATGTATGTATTTATTTTTAAAGAATTGAACAGCCAAAGAATGTTGACAAAGGCATAGTGAAAAATCCCTACGTCTGGTATCCAACAATTAAAATCCTAAATCTGCTATTTAAAGCAATATAATTTAGGGCCAGTCACTTATTTGAGCTTCCCATCCGTAAACTAGAGCTATCACAACAAAACAGATTTTATTTTTTGAGGACTAACTCTAAATAATAAGATAAAAAGGTCTCAGTCAGAACATCATGCAAAAAAAATCTAGATGGTTAGTCATCAAATTTAAAAGGTATGTTTGGGAATATCTCAAGTAAAGCACATTCTATGTAATAAAACAGGAACTCAATCACTCTAGGAACCACTATTTTTATTTCTTTGGCTCACTGCTATATCCATAGCATTGAGAACAGTGTCTGACAGGTAGAAGTGTTTTTGAATGAATGAATGCATGGATGGATGGATGGATGGATGGATGGATGGATGGATGGATGGATGATGGAATAGGCAGTCATGCTTCAGAGCAGCTGAAACTGAAATTCAGAAATCTCAGTGACTGCCAAGAAGGAGAGCAAGTCGTAACGTATTAGGAGCCGTAAGAAAAAAAATCAATGGTTGTCACAAATTTGAGTCTCACACTGAGTCAGGGGACTGACCCTTCACACTGCTGATGTAACTCACAGTCGAGCCGTCCACACCTAGTGTGCCAGCAACCAGGTGCCCGCGGGCAGAGGCCGCAGAGCCACGCTGCTTTGCATTTTGTTTGAGAGTCCAAAGAACCCCGTGGGGCAGCTGGTAGGGAGCACATGTGAAGCTCTGATCACGTGTACCTCATACCTCAGCTCCCAACCCTCTGCATCTCTCAGCATATTGATGAAAAAGTAACTTTGATATCTGTCTTAACTTTATCATGGTAAAGACAATCCGAGTAGGAGACATTTAGTTTGCTTTAAAATGTCTAGCAGTGAACTCCACCCTGTGCACTCCTGTAAAGACACTGCATATAACTCGAATGTGATGGTAAGTGCATGCGCCTGTTTCTCCTACTGTAACATAATGCCACACACTGAAAAGCATCGCCCCGACTCCAGTGGGTTGCTGCATGAAGTTAGATAAGCCATGTAAAGTACCGAATACAACAGATGTTATAAGGATCAACACAGATCATCAAAGTGTCTGACACATGATAAATACTAAATAAATATTCGCTATTATTATAATGAGCAACAAATACCAGTTCCACATCTAACCAACATCCAGCATTTCTGGATGTGGGGCTTCTTGATGATTATGAAGGCAATTTTCAAAAGTCTTCACTAAATTAAAATTCAGTTTTAGAAACACTGCATCATACACATAGAAGTATATGTAATATATTCTTAAGCGAACAAAAAGGTTACAATAGAGTATGCCCAATAGATCACAATTTGTTTCTAAAGGCAAATGTGCATAGACTGGAAAATAAGAATGATTTTTAAATATAGGAATATGCCATAAAAGTAAACATAGTTTACATATGATATCCATTTTCTATATCTTCTAAATTTAACACAATAGGCTATTACTTTTGTAACCACAGAAACTATCCTACCAGTTTTTTGTTTGCTTATTTCAGTAACAAGGTCAAACAAATACTGTGACTGTCAGCCTATCAGATTGTCTCTTCCTTTCAGTTTGGCAAGCTGACCAATGTCTGTTGTAGGACTACCATTTTCCCCACAAAAGAGATACACAGGTGGAGCTACAGAAATAGAAAGTGAGCCAGAGTTAAGAGGAAAGAAAAAAAACATAACTTAAGAAGCAGATTACAGAAGTTCGCAGAAACTGTATAAATACTTTGGCATGTAAAGGAAACTATCAAGACACCCACCAATTTTAAATGGTTCAGTTAAAATGGCAAGATGTCAACAATCGGTGAATCAAGCTGAAAAGTAGTGTTATTCTTTCAACTTCTTTGTAGATTTGAAGTTTAAGTCCTAATATGTCAAAACTTTTGAAGCATTTTAATGTTGCCATTTAGATCAGCGGTCGCCAACTGGTGGTCCGTGAGGTCCGAAAGGTTGGCGACCACTGATTTAGATGATTGAAAAAAGAGGATTTTATGAAAGCTGACGATGCTCCTTTGTATATTCATCCTCCAAACCTAGAATTCCATCACTGTTTTGGAAAAATGTCAGCTACTTTTCACATAGTCAAACATGCAGATGCCATGTAAGTAGATAACTCTTTAAAGGTCAGCTGAAGAATCTGACCCATGTAGTACTCACAAAAATGCATGAACAATGAAATCATATTGGTAGTATCCCAGGCTCTTCTGCTACTTAGTTTTAGTGTCTGCGGGGCTGTACTCTTAGCCTGGTCAAAGTAGATGGATATAGAGTACCTACGTTCCTGTCACATCTCATCAACAGGAATGCTCACAAGATCTTGTCATACCTTTATCATTCTTGACTTGACATTTCATGTCACCCTATCCCACCAATGAAGGAGGTACTATAAATGTACTAGAGTGTATACTTACTATTCCAATACCAAAATGATTTCACTTGTGTTTTCATAGACTTCATGGAGATTGATCACATGGGGACAGGACCTTGCCAACTCAAGCACGGCAATCTCGTGCAGGATCTCCGCGCGGCAATCCTGTCCTCTTCTGCGCTTCTTTAGGAATTTTGCGGCATATTCTTGGCCAGTTGATTTTGATATGCACTGTCTAACCACAGCAAATTTCCCCCTGGGAAGAAATGACAAGCAATTCTAACTTTTCCATAAAGAACAGTATTAGTACAACACAAATACTGCTATACCTCCAACTCAGAATCAACCTTTTCAAAAAATCATGCCATGAAATTTATCATTTTTCTCTTAAACTGCTGCATGTACATTTATAAAATGTACAGTATTACCACATAAAAACAAGAAGGGCAAATGTCGCAATAGGATGACGGAACTACATTCGTTCTTCCCTATTAATATATACATGATCATTGTACACCAACTCCATGCCATACTCTCCACATAAATTACTGCTTAGCCCTAGCCGGTTTGGTTCAGTGGATAGAGCGTCAGCCTGCGGACTGAAGGGTCCCAGGTTCAATTCCCGGTCAGGGGCACATGCCTGGGTTGTGGGCTCGATCCTTAGTAGGGGGTGTGCAGGAGGCAGCCAATCAATGATTCTCACTCATCATTAATGTTTCTCTCTCTCTCTCCCTCTCCCATCCTCTCTGAAAGCAATAAAAATATATATTTTAAAAAATTACTGTTTAATATCACACAATCCTACAGTAAACGCTACTCTTGTTTTGCAGGCTCCAGAGAGGCTATGTATCTTGATCTATTTCCAAAGACCATGCCCTTAATAACTTTATCAAAAAGGCTTTCCTTCAAATACAAAAAATTAAGACGAACCCAAAAATTCATACCTGACACTTAATTTTATTAGTGTAATCACTTTGCCTTTCAACACCACTTTTAACAAGCTTTGAAGCTTCCTATCACAATTTGTCAGTTGTATTACCAGTAAATCTCTTAGTATTGCTCAGTAGTCTATGAAGCCTGTAACAGATGTCAAAGGTATGTATATATGTCCTTTGGAAAGGACTAAACACAGTTCACCTTCTACTAAGAAATTAATGGTTATCAACAGCTATGTACAAATACACCCATTACCATCATGTATGTCATTTTAGGAGTAAGTATGTGTTTAGCTGTCTCCAATAAATGCTCAGCATCTCAGCCAAAATTTAAAGACAGAGGCAAATTGTATATTCTCGGCCTGTAGTTGCTCAAAATCTAGTTTCCCAAAGACCTGATGTTATTTTGAGTAATACTACTTGAGGAGACTAATAAAAGCTACAAACTGCCTATCCAGAAAAATGTACATGTGCCCTTAAGTAGTACGTTTTACATACAGTTTCAGAGTTCCAAGCCCATTCATACAACTTCTAAGCCTGAGGACAACAAATCCAAAATTAAGGAACTCTATCCTAAGGTTCAAATTACTCTCTAGATACCAACAAATCAAGTATAAATAAAGGATCTGCAGAGAGCAACCTCTGTCCCACCACTCCTCTTGCCCCAATGTCCCTTCCATATACTTCTAACATGGCATACCAGGTGCTTCGCAAGGAAAGTTTTTTAATTCATTTGGTATTTGGGTTTGGGGTGGGGCCAAAATCTATTGTTTGATTCTATTTTACTTACTGTTCTCAAGGACCAGGATGACAAAGATTCCTATTCTTTATTTCCCAAATTTCCTCCAAATTGATGCCAATGAAATACACTGGAAATCACACTGAAAAACTATAGCTACTAATGCCAAAAAAGTAACCAAGGTATAATTTGCCTCCTCTACATTTATCAAGATATAAATCAACTCAATAAATCTGCATGGACAAACCTGATTCTTTGAAAGAACTTTTCATTTATTATTTGAGGATGCTTAATTTTAACTACAAGATATTTTCTTACTGTATGCAAAGAAATACAAATTGATGCATTTCAATGAACACACAAAAAAGTTAACATTTCCTTAGCTTTCTTTCAAACCACTGGTATTTTATACCAAATAAACTGAGTCGGACTAAGATTAAATGACTCATGAAAGGTCATATATGGGACTGGAGTGCCAAGAGTTACACTGTGGAATGTGAATCCCTGGCTTTCTGCTCTAACCACCACAAAACAATTCCTCCTTTTAAGACAGCTGTTTTTTAATAAGTGCAACTCACGCACTTCTGCCAATTCTTTCTTAGATTTAGAAACAAAATTTATCTAAAACAGAAAGGAAATTTTAAGTTTTTGAAGAAACCCACTCTGTAAAACTTAGGAATCAGAAATAGTAGGCCAAGAAAATTGTACACATATTTTATAGCGCTAATTGTAACAATTCAGTTCAACTATAATTTTATGAATGTGTCAATAAGCCAGGGTTTTCTCAGAAACAAAGAGCAAAACTAAATGCTTTTTATCGAATTGTTTCAGGTATTCTAAATATGCTTTCTTAAGCAAGTTTAGTTCTCATTAGTCTAGAAGCCATGGTCAGCAAACTGCGGCTCGCGAGCCACATGCGGCTCTTTGGCCCCTTGAGTGTGACTCTTCCTAAGCCTTAGGAGGACCCTAATTAAGTTAATAACAATGTACCTACCTATATAGTTTAAGTTTAAAAAATTTGGCTCTCAAAAGAAATTTCAATCGTTGTACTATTGATATTTGGCTCTGTTGACTAATGAGTTTGCTGACCACTGGTCTAGAGCAAAGGTAACCAAATATTGATAATTATTTATTTGCCAATGTTCACCACTAAGTAAAAGCCCAGTGAAGACAGAGACTCTATGTGTCCTAGTTACTATAGTAATTATAAAATCTCCATTAGCTAACTAACACATAACAGAAACTAAAATATCTGTTGAATAAAGCAAAAGTTAAGCCACTACTATAATACCATATATTGTGCTATTTTGAATCCTGTATTTAAAGCATTTATATTTTTAAAACTTATTTGTGATTCCAATAAAATGTTACTTATATATTCAACTACCTTATTTACATATCATTAAATAAGGTTAAGTATTTTTATCATAATTATCAAATGACTTAGGAAAAAAACAAGTATTTGATTTCTATTCTAAAATGCTAATTGTGGTTTAGAATTATCAAAATAAACTTCAATACATAATGTTCCTACATCAACTATAACAAAAACTAAGAAAATTTAAAACCCATACTAAGTATATATAATTAATTCATACCCTAAAAAGGCAAATCTGAAAAGATTTTCCAGCAGTGAAAAGGTCTAGTAGTTACTCTGTGCATTCTAGAATAGACAATAAAATGTGAGAGAAGGGGGAGGGCAACCACAAAGGAAGCTGACGTTTATTTCGGCATCAGCCTCACCCTCTGACCACAGAGGCCTATGAAACTTGCCTCAGTTGGGGGGAGGGTAGAAAAAAATTTAACCAACATGTTAAAAAACAGGAACAACACAAAGCTTTGAGAAGAGTCAAAATTGAACTACTAACATTTGCATGTTATTTTAGTTTGTTGAAGAAAATAAATTCTAAAACACTAACATCTTAAGATTAATAAAAAGCAATTGATTTAGAAAGGTAACTTTGTAGTTCACTACATGCCAGAATTATGCATTTAGATATTTCAAAATGTACACGCCTCAGGATAAATAAGATTATAATGCTAATTTCTATTAATTAGGATTATATTCGTAATTAAAATTGGTAATGATTTTAAAAGAACTTAGTCCTGGCCTGTGTTTCTCAGTTGCTAGAGCATTGGCCTGCTCCCTGAAGGATCACGGTTCAATTTCCAGTCAAGGGCACATACCTAGGTTGCAGGTTTCACCCTCAGGCCTCGTAGAGGTACCTGAAGAAGGCAACCAATCTAGGTGTCTCTCTCACATTGATATATCTATCTATCTCTATCTCTCTCTCCCCTTAGCCCCGCTCCCCTCCAGTCTTTTTAAAAAAATGTTCACAATCAATGGAAAAAATATCCTCGAGTGAGGATTAACAACAACAACAACAACAAAAGAATTAAGGCAAGTTCTTGGCAGAGGAAATGTGATTTCCAATTTATCAAGGTTTACTAGATATATCAATATTTACCATAACAATTTTAAAAAATGCTAGGTCTCTTTCATAAAGATATTAGAAATCTGAATGTGTTTCATCAGATTCTACCGAGAGTCTTTGCTCTGAAATGTTAGAGTATATCTGATTCAATTTATGCTTTTTATGTTGGCATCTTATTTGTAAAACAATTGAGAAGTATTAATACCGTTCTCTACAAAGTTTAACTTTTCCTCAAAGAAATTTTATAGATTTTCTAGCTCCCAAATGCCCTATTTTGCCAAGTTAATAAATGTTTGTACATTTACTCATTAAAATAGTGACTTAGAAAAGCAGAAAAGAATGCCCTTTATTGTATGTACTGTTCAAGGCATAGTCAGTTACCTGCTCAAAGCAGTTTCCAAACATTTTTGCAGCAGAAGGAAAATTGGAGACATCTAATCCACCCTCTCATCTTCAAGAAAAGGAAATCACACAACTAAATAGATCACACAACTTTAGGTTCAGAGTAAAAATAGGTCAACTGACTTCCAGTTTAATCTGTTTTTACAAAATATACAAACAGATGCCATAGGACACATATCTGCCATAGCTGCCAAAAAAAAAAAAAGAAAGAAAACTCCCAATGGAATCTTAGGCCTCCTCAAATAAAGTTGTTTTCTACTGTAGATGGTAAGACACTGACAATCCTATCCATCCCAAGTCTCCTTATTCTCAGACTAGCAATGAAAAAAACAAAGTGGTTCAGAAGAAGGCTACTGGAGATGAGGTCATAAGATGAGCGTTTAAGGAAACCGGCAATGCTTAGCCAGAGTCAAATCTCGGAAGGATTTTCACAGGGACATTATAAGCAGCTACAAAAGGAGAACCGTGCCTCCTGCAGATGCGAACAGAGAGAAAGCAGAACTTAGTGTGCCTAGGAAGTGCTCACAGAAAGGAACAGGCGTTCTCAGGCCGTGAGTTCCCCATCACTGAAGCAGTCAAATTGAGGCTGGGTAAACAGCTTGCCAAGAAAATCATAGAAAAGACTGCTGCACTGCATAAAAAATTGTATTAGGAGATCACTGACCACCAAAGTCCTTCCCATGCCAAGGTTCCGTGACTACGCCATGTGAAATAAAAGTAACTAGAAGGAAACGTATGCTTTCCTGTGACAATGCAGAGAAATCATTAAAGATTTAGAGCAAAACGATTTTTTAAAACATTCTGAAAGGTTTTAAAAACTGTATCTTTTAATACACCACTAAAGTACTCATATGTTTTTAACACATAATAAATATGCCAGAAATGTGAAATAGGAAACATTTAGTTCTTAGTCTGGTGAGGCAGGTATCATCCTCATTTTGCAAAATAAAGACTGCATCTATCAAGATGTTGGGTGCAACTACTACATTCAGCTTAGCAACATAATTACTTTCCATGATTCGGTCCGTTTTTGTTTTCACATTGAAATTAAGGTAAAAACCAATTATACTATTTTACTGTAAATTTATCAATGCAAATACAGACTTAGTAAAGCATTTCAACAGAAGCCAAAACACTGCCTCCAGAACTAAAATCAAACTGAAGACAGAGGCCGATCACCATTTTCTAATCCTCTGATAACTGTCTTTAAAGCTCAACAGATGCTAAATATATAACTTAAATACCTTGGTTTATCTTTTATAACTTTGATAAGTATTAAAATGATAGCACTAAATGGTCTTTTAATCTCAGGTCATTAAGGAATTTACACCTTGGTTAAGTCAAAACAGATTAGTATTAGTGTAAGTACAGGTTTTACTGATAGGACATACATTCCTTCTTTATACAGAATTCTAATATCAAATATGAGTTAATTTTTTTGTTTAATTTAGGAAAGAAGGGGAGAATCTAAACATTATTTTTTTAAGCCCAAACACAATATCCAGGATTTTTTTATTTGACAAAAACTTATAAAGCACTCTACTAAGTGTTTTATAAATATTAACTAATGTAATCCTCACGACCACCATGTAAGATTTATACAATTATCTTCACCCCATTTCTCAGATGAAACTACATCTTCAAGAGGGACAGTCATTTACCTGAGGTCACTAGGCTAAGCTGCCTCTTCCCAGGTCCACCTCAGAAACCCAAAGGGGACAGCAGACATCCTAACAGCTCACCCTCCCGTCAGTTAAGACTGGGCCTGAATAGTAACAGACGATGACTTTTCTTTCTAATCACTGTTAAATAACGACTGAGTTTCATATAACTAAAGACACACAAATCCAAAATGTGAATTTAAACAGCATACAGATCATACAATTTCCTTACCTTCCTAGCTCTTTAGATGTCAGTGTGTAAAAATTATTAAAGTTTTCCATTTTCATTGGAGTTTGGGGAGTTGTCGTTAGCAAGCCCGAAATGCTTCGGCAATCAAATCTTCTCCTCGACATGTTAGCTGGCGTCCAGATATGCTTTTCAGTCACTTCTTTTTACCTATTTTTTAAAAAAGAGAAGAGACAGGATATAACTTCAACGTAGCTCAGGGACAAAAAAAAGATATCTCAGACAGGATGTGCATTACATTATCAGCTCCAAATATAGCTATAAGACAACCAAAAAGAAGATTTAAAGAGCACATTCTCCCCACCAGGAAAAAGATTCACACACATAAACTGGTATGGTACTTGAACTATGTTACTGACTTCATTCAGAATAAAACTGCTGTTAAAAAAACACACAAACAAAAAAACCCTGTAGCCCTAGCTCAGCCGTGGGCAAACTCCGGCCCGTTGGAAATGAATAAAACTAAAAAAAAAAAAAAGACCGTACCCTTTTATGTAATGATGTTTACTTTGAATTTATATTAGTTCACACAAACACTCCATCCATGCTTTTGTTCCGGCCCTCCAGTCCAGTTTAAGAACCCATTGTGGCCCTCGAGTCAAAAAGTTTGCCCACCCCTGCCCTAGCTGGTTTGGCTCAGTGGATAGAGTGTCAGCCTGCGGACTGAAGGATCCTGGGTTTGATTCTGGTCAAGGGCACATGCCTGGGTTTTGGGCTCAATCCCCAGTAAGGGGGTGTGCAGGAGGCAGGTGATCAATGATTCTCTCTCATCACTGATGTTTCTGTCTCTCTCCCTCTCCCTCACCCTTCTTCTCTGAAATATATATATTAAGAAAAAACCTGTACAATTATTTTTAAAAAGTTATAATTTAATACAATCACTCAATTTCATTTTGAAATTAAAGTTCCATCTTCTAAAACAAGATAATTTATCATAGCAAAGTAAGGATTATTGTTTTTAAATATAATTTCACATGGCCAAACTAACTTTGTGGTGAATTCACCCTTTGTGAGTTATATTACTGACATCTGAATGACTACAAGAAGCAGAATTTGTTTCACAGACTCTACAATTCAATACTAAATTCAGAAACTTTCATAGGTCTTAAGAGTATCTTTTTTTTTGGCAGCATCAAGCACAAAGCCTGCCATGGATGAAGAGCTCTATAATTTTGTTGGATGAGTGGCTGACCATACCAGAGTTCTCATCTACATCTGAAGCTCATATTTACCTCAAACTTTGTGATATTTACATGTATTCAGTTTTAACATCACAGCTACTATTTCCTAGTAATGGAGTTCATACGACAGCAGACTATATATTTTAAGCTACGTCTCACTTTCTGCTAAGCCTATCTAATAAGAGACGCAGTATTATTCTCCGAACACCCTCTGTAATACCCCCCAGGCTTTTGTGGTTTCTCTGCCACAATTTCCCCTCCTTATTTCCTATTTGACACAAACTGTTTCTTTACCTTCCCTGATCCAAATGCCAGCTACATCAGCTTAGCAAATAAGCAGTGTGATTGAGGTCAGTATTTTCAGCTTCTGTCTTCTCGGTTTTATTCTTAAGTCAGACAATTTTTTCCTCTCACTCTCTTGGTCTTTGGGAAAACAAAGCCCTAGCTGGTTTGGGGGTACACCTCTAGTAGTCTAAGGGTAGCAGCGTAGCATTCTGAAATAACATTTGGACTGAACCACATCTGAGTCTGAATCCCATTTATCCATCACACCAGCTATGAGCTCCTAACTAAATAATTTAACTTTGTTACTCTTATGGGCTGAATTATGCTCCCCTCAAAATTCAAATGTGGAGCTCCTAACCCCCAGTACCTCAGAAAGTGACTGCACTTGGAGACAGGGCCTTTAAAGAGGTGGCTAAGCTAAAATGAGATCGATCATTCGAGTGGGCCCTCATCCAATAGGACTGGTGTCCCAATGAAAAGAGGAGATTAGGACACAGACACACAGATACACCGGGGGAAGGCCCTGTGCAGACACAGGGAGACGCCATGGAAAACCTAACAGAAAGGCCTCAGCAGAAAGGGACCCCGACACTGATCTCAAGCTGCTTCTCTCCAGAATTGTGAGACAATACAGTTATGTTGCTTAAATCGCTCAACCTGCAGACTTTATTATGGCAGCCTAGGAAACTATTTTAATACAGCTTCTTTTAAAAATAAGAAATGAATATTTCCAATAAATATCACAACACTTGCCTTTCAACATGACTATTTTGCCGTATTGTGTTTAAATTGATAAATGAGACATCATAGACCCAGTTGAAGCCCGTCTCTCTTCTTTGCATCCCTAGTTTACGTTCCCACTACTACTGGGTGGGAGGGCTTACCATTTCATTGCCAACATTTGCCCTATTTGGAGTTTTAATTTTGGCTATTCTAGTGTAATGAGGGTGAGATGGAACTTTGTAATTTGCTTTGGATTTCTGATTATTCGTGAGGAATGCTTCGGTCCTGCTGCTTCTGAAGTGTGGATGATAACAGAACCTCTCTTACAGAGCTCTAAAGATTAAACATTAAAATACGATGAACTCACGTAGAATGACACCAGTACAGTGTGGATGATAACAGAACCTCTCTTACAGAGAGCTCTAAAGATTAAACATTAAAATACGATGAACTCACGTAGAATGACACCAGTACAGTGTGGATGATAATAGGACCTCTCTTACAGAGCTCTAAAGATTAAACATTAAAATACGATGAACTCACGTAGAATGACACCAGTACAGTGTGGATGATAACAGAACCTCTCTTACAGAGAGCTCTAAAGATTAAACATTAAAATACGATGAACTCACGTAGAATGACACCAGTACAGTGTGGATGATAATAGGACCTATCTTACAGAGCTCTAAAGATTAAAAATTAAAATACGATGAACTCACGTAGAATGACACCAGTACAGTGCTAATCCTGAGACTGTATCATGACTGTCCAATACATATATATTGTTAATATTCTAGCCAAAGGGAGTCTCTATGCAGTCTCTGCCATTGCTGAGTACCGTTTCCATATACAAAACTCTCAACCCAAGTTAGCTTAAACCTGATTATTATAATTCTGTCTTTTTTATTCTGTTTTAATGACCTATTTGTGTATTTTTTTTTTTTAGCTCTGATGACACTGAGTTTCACAGGTACATATTCCTCTCTTAAAAAGTCAATAATTATCAATTCCTATGCTCAATCTATTTCTTTTAGATCATCTTCGTATTTTTACACAAAAATTTCTAAATTTGAAAGTCTATGTGGGCCCTAGCCAGTTTGGCTCAGTGGCTAGAGCGTTGGCCTGCAGACTGAAGGGTGCCAGGTTCAAGGGCACATGCCCGGGTTGCGTGCTTTGATCCCCAGCTGGGGACATGTAGGAGGCAGTCGATCAGTGCTTCTCTCTCATCATTGATGTCTCTATCTCTCTCTCTCCCTCTCCCTTCCTCTCTGAAATTAATAAAAATGTATTTTTTTTAAAAAAGTCTATGTGAAATCTAAAGAACAAAAGAAATAAAACTAAGACTCAAAGATATAGAGAACAGACTGATGATTGACAGAGAGGAAGGGGGTTGGGGAACTGGGTGAGAAAAGTGAAGAGATGAAAAAGTACTAATTGGTAGTTACAAAACAGTCATGAGGAAGTAAAGTACAGCATAGAGAATAACAATAAATAATACTGTAATAACTATGTATGGTACCAGGTGGGCACTAGAAATATTGGGGAAGTACTCTGTAAAGTATGACTGTCTAACCACTATGCTATACACCTGAAACTAATACAAAATAATATTGAATGTAAACTTTAGTTTAAAATTAAAAAATAATTTTAAAAAGTCTATGAATATGCATACTTAATGATCACATTTATGCCGTACACACACACACACACACACATATACACTGAGTGGCCAGATTATTATGACCACCCCATCAGTAGTTCATTGACACTTCCAAAAATACTGAATATTGAAAACTTCCTAAGAAAATACTCTCAAGGTTTTATTATTATTTGCATAACTAATTCACTTCAGTGTACTGATATATCTATATATCTACATATATATATAGATATACACGCACACACACAGAAAGAAAACATGTACCTGTATCATGGATACAAACTGGCTACATTCCCCACAATCAGGACTTGGGAAACATGAGGACCAGAACATACCACATTCAACCATAGAGATAGAATACAGGAATGTGCACCTCATCTAAATTCTAGAATCTAAGATGTCTATTTCATGCTGTAATATATCAACTACAAAGTAATCTATTCATAAGAAATCTGGTTGAATTAAGATATATTGACAAATAAGTATTCTCTGCTCTCAAGTTTAAAAAATGTCAATATGGATCTTACAGGTAGTCAAAAATTTATGTTCGATGAAGCTTTATAATTGTGGGAAAAAAAAGAAATTTGTGGAATGAATGAACCCCAAAGTCAAACAATAGGAAATGGTTAAATACACCTAAATAATAGGATATTATATACTCAAAAATTGTGCTTTTAAAGAATCTTTTAAACTCAAATTATAAAGTGAAAAAAGGAAGACATAAAACTTTATAAACAATATGATAATTTTGTGGGAAAATAAAAAAGCAAATAGCAGAAGACTGAGAACAATGCAAAATGTTAACAGTGGTTATCTTTGGGTGGTGGGATTACGGCAGTATTTATACTTTCTGGTGTTTAAGTTATCTATACTAAGCAGATTCTACTTTAACAATCAATAAAAATTTAATAAATACCTTTGGGTAAAAAAGATGGGTGTAAATAAATATATATGACCGGACTCTAAGTGCAGAAACACATTTGCAACAGCAAAACATAACTCTTTACACATTAAGGGTTTACTTGGCTAGAAGTTCAAGAGCCATTACCACTCCGGTTTTTTAAGGCCTCAGTGTTTTCTCTGCATTTCTCAAACCTATTTCCACAATTTTTTTTCATTATCGCCCATTATAGTAATTACAATACGCATTCAGATATGGATCAGTGAAGGAAGGAACAGAGGAAATGTTAGACTTGATCTGGCCTTCACTCGCTTTCAAGGGAGAAAGCAAATGTGATGTGATCAAAAGTAAGACAATTCCTAAATAGCTCTAATTTTTAAATATTCATCATAATATTCACTCCAAACTTATCAAGCAAAAATATTTCACAAAAATAGAATATATCTACAATAAACGAAAACACCTAGAGAACTAAGGGGTCTGCTTTGATCTCTCCATTAGCTTCCTAGTACCTACGAGCTATTAAGTCCTGACACATGACACACACAGGCTGAGGCAGGTGCACCCCGGCTTCACTTCCTGCCACTCATGTCTCATATTTTGCCTCCACATCTCTGTTATACTTTCCTGCCTGAAACAGCCTTTTTACCTTTCCTTAAATGGCTAACGTTTCTGATGCATCCTTCACATCTCAACATAGAATGTGATCCCCCCCCACCCCCCCGCCGCCCCTACTCACGGAAGCTGACATTGTTAAAAACCAAAAAAGTTGTGTTAAGTGCCTCTCCTTTATGCTTCCAACAGGACCCTTGACATGTCTCTTTACCTCAATATCTAACATGTTAGATTTCAATTATGTTTAGTGTCTAAAGAGCAATAACCATTTACTTTTATACTAAACCCCCAGCAAGGTGTCTGGCACCTGATAGGAATTTTCAAAATGTTTGATGAACTGCATTATAAGAATTATGAAATAAAGCAAGAAGCATTTTTAGGTATATCTCAAATCATCAAGGGTTGTGCAGAACTTGAGATCTATCTTGAAATTATAGTATTGGAGCTCTAAATGCAGCTAGTCTCTGCTTAATTTGGTATTTGGCTAAATAAAATATTTTCAACTGCTACTAGAGAATTTCAATTCTAAACAGGATGGCCACAAAATATGGAAATATGGATAAAATCATTTCATCAGATATTGTAATGTAACACCAACAGACCATTGATTTTGTATTTTCCTGCCTTTCCAGACTAGGTGGCCACCTGGTTTCATGTAAATACCTACTTCAGCTAAGATAACATTTTAAGAGCTGCCTCAATCAGGAAATTAATTCAGACACTGCCCTGTTAAGAACCGATCAATCTAGATTTTCCTGAAATAAATTTGAAAGGCAATGGAAAGCAAAGTGAGGCACAAGATTATAAGGAAACAATTCCTTTTTACATAGGCATTTACAGCTACAAAGTTTTCCCTAGGGATCAGAGAAACTGGAGATGTGTTTATCTAGCATCCATCAAAATAAACGAGGAACTTTCTGCTACTGTGGCAGAGGGCTCCATTTATAATTAGTCGTTGATTAGAAGTAAATGTAATGCAGTAGACATAAGAATAAGGATGATTTCTAATTTCAAGGAAGAGACTGTATCCCTTATGTGTTCTACTAGCATATTTTGTTTTGTTTAAGATTGAGTATACAGAATAATTCAAGAATTTAATCATTTGAGAGTCACAAGCAAGCCAGTTAGCTGACTCTAGTCCAAGCAGTCTAGTATATATACTACCCAAGGGCTGAAGTCCCCAGTAAGGTCCCCAGGCCGGATCCTATGCCAACACATAAGGCCTGGTGCCATCTCTTCAACTTTCAGAAAATCAAACCCTGTAATTGTGGAACAGTATAGGAAGATGTTGCAAAACGGAAATACAGTGGGCCAACACACACAGTGCTTCCCATTCATCAGATGAAAAATTAAGTTTCTGTTGTAAAATAAAGTACTGTTTACTTATAGCATTCCTGAAGTACTATTTATTCCATAACTATTCCAATGCAAGATGGAATATGATCATCTAAGGATTAAAGATGAAATTACCACCTCACTATTAATATAAATTTTTTTAAATGATTAAAGTATTACTGTGCCCTCATTTGGGGGAGAAGTTGCAAAAAGTCAGGGGTGCACCAAAATATGTTGTATATTAATATCAAAAGAAACTGACCAGTATAGATGTTAAAATTCAAGGATAAATGTATTTGGGGAAAAAAAAGAGTAAATAAATGAAAGAAATAAATTAACAAAATATATCTTGAAAATTGCATTTATCACAACATATTTAAGTAAAAATGTGTTCGTAATTTAAATTTATAAGTAAATTTGTTAATTGAAATGTGCTTTGATTATAGTCTTCAATAGAATATATACCACTTAAAATTCCATCATTGAATTTTGTTATCCATACTGTGGAAAACTAAAACATTTAAAGTTTTCCCAAGTGGAAAGGAAGTACATAAATGACTGTTAATGTTTTTGACACAATCAATACCCTTAGGATACAAAATAATTCTTTAAGAAATTAAGAATCAATCAAAATCCTTTAAAAGCAGAAATCTAAAAGCACTATTGTTAGCTGCCCATTTTATACACAGGAAATATGCTCTACAATACAATATATGTGCAATTTCATGACAATTTTATGATTAAGTGAAAGTGTTAGCAATGGGTTTCCTTGAGTCCTGGGTTTTAAATTGGGCTAAAGATTAAAACAGGAAAATTTTGATAAGGAAATGCTCTCATAATTATCAAACAGCTTTTAAAATACATTTACTTAGTGTTTTGTAAAACACTGTTAGTGCAAGCTTAAAATAAAATCGTTTGATTGGAAACCACCACAAATGCCTGTATCTTCCTCAGACTTGTTATTAGTGTGCTGACAGTGATCAATTAGCCAAGTCTCAACTTTCCTTCAAAACTGATTCTATCTTAACCAAATAATAACTCACTATTCAATGAGCCCAAGAGAAAGGGCAACCATTCTGCATGCACACAAAAAGGCCGTCAAGTTATGACACCAATTTTATGTTTAAAATTCAAATATACTGCCATGTAAGTGTATTTCACTTGAATCCATCGTTTAGAAAAAAT